GTGCTGCGGTAGGAGTGATCTGCTGTTCATCGCAGTGCTCATGTGGGTGATACTGGAGAGAAACACCTCGATTGCTGTTCGTTTTCCCTCAGCTTAGGTGTCCTTCATTTTATAGATGGAGATTTAACGTTAGGTGCTCGTTGCTGGTCGGTGTCAGTGTCCCTCCGGCAGCGTGTCACTGGGGTGATGGTTTGCTGAAATCGGATCGTGTGTGCGGCAGGCAGGGTTTTCTGCTGCTTTAGATTTGAACTGCGACTGGAATCTCCATGAAAGCCAATAATCCTGCTTTTGAAGGCGATCACAACGCTGCTGTCTCTGGATCTTTGGATGACAGAAAGGTTCTTAATTGTCACCTTGAAAGTTGGAGCTGAGCTCTTCTCGTGGGTAAATCTCACGTAGCTTCTGCTCTAAATTCAGACACTTCAGAAGCTGACTAGGAGCTACGTTAAATTTCTGGATTTTGCTTTGCTCATCTTCAGTAAAGTCTGTTTCAAATAAACTATGTAAGAAGATGCTTGAGCTCAGGGACTGATTTTAATTTTAATTTAATTTAAATTTAATTCTGCCCCTTTCTGTTTGTGGAGATTCCAAGCTCAGGGGCTCTCGCTGATCACCAGCCTAACGCCCCGTGGTCTCTGTGTTCAGGGGGAATTGCAGCAGGAGGCAGTGGGAAGGGACGGGGAGCGAAGCGCAAGCAGCAGGACGGAGGGACCACAGGAACAGCCAAGAAAACCAGAAGGTAAGAGGAAAGATGAGGCAGGGGCACTGTGCTGAGCACTCAGGCGAGGTGGTGTGCGCTGGTCAGGGCCAGCTTTGCTCTCCATGCCTTAAGCTGCCTCTTGCCTCTCTCTGCCCTTGTTGGATGTACGGGGAATCATGGCATAACCCTGTGATGCTGTTGATAGGTCCTGTGCTAGAAGTTATTTGAAATAGATGGTTATTTGAAATAGATGAGTATCTGCTTGTTTCGTAGATGAGTATTTGCTCGTTTCCCACCAGCTGTTGTGGAAGCAAAGCAGTGTGCAGCCCCGGAGTGCTGCGGGTGCAGCTCTGCGAGGGGTTGTCCTGGGCTGACTTGTGACTGAGCTGTAGCCATCCTGAGATGCCAGCCTGTAGTTTTTGTGTTTCACAGTGACCCGCTGTTTTCCGCTCAGCGTTTACCGCCCCACGGTTACCCTTTGGAGCACCCCTTTAATAAGGATGGATATCGTTACATCTTGGCTGAGCCTGACCCCCACGCCCCTGACCCGGAGAAGCTGGAGCTGGACTGTTGGGCAGGCAAGCCTATTCCTGGGGACCTCTACAGAGCCTGCCTGTACGAACGAGTCCTCCTGGCACTGCACGACCGAGGTACAAAGCTAGCTCATCATATGCAGGCTGCAGAGCTGCCCTTCTTACCTTCTGTAACCTCATGTTACCGGTTATTGACATTTTGGATATAATTGCTTTAAGAGGTGCAAATGTTGAGTCTCCTTCTGTCTGATCGCTTGCCTTTTGGCATCGCTTCACGTTAGAAATCACAGATGAACTGCTCACATCATCTTCTCTCATTTACCACAGCTCCTCAGTTAAAGATTTCCGATGACAGACTGACCGTTATTGGCGAGAAGGGCTATTCGATGGTACGAGCCTCGCACGGCGTGCGGAAAGGAGCCTGGTACTTTGAAATATCCATGGATGAGATGCCTCCAGACACAGCTGCCAGATTAGGCTGGTCACAGCCACTAGGTAAATAATTTTACCAAGTATTTCTTAGCAGTGGATTCCAACTGGTTCCTGTATTTATTTTCCCAGTAATTTATACCCAAGGAGGTAATTACTGTTCCAAAACATGAAGTGGGACCCTTGGGTGCCCCTGCTACACCGTGTATGTTCATGAAGAAACGTTGGTTTCCACAGGGAACCTCCAGGCGCCTCTGGGATATGACAAGTTCAGTTACTCCTGGCGCAGCAAAAAGGGAACCAAGTTTCACCAGTCGATAGGGAAACACTATTCATCTGGCTACGGACAGGGCGACATCCTGGGGTTTTACATCAGCCTTCCAGAAGATACCGAGACGGCCAAATCGCTGCCCGACACCTACAAAGACAAGGTGAGTGTTAGCTGAGGTGGACAGCACGTTGCTCCAGCCTCACTTTTGCCCCCTTTGCTGCATCCTTTCCATCCTGCCTCTGGGTGACCACTGGGGTCCAACAGGGAAACGAAATACCCCACCCCGAGGTTCTGCAGGGGGAGCCTGGCGTGGGCTGCTGAACGAGACTGCCCACAGCTCCTTTCTTCTTTTCTTCCCCTGCTGCTTCGCAAATATTTTGAGATACGTGAATCACCCTTCACGGGTACTGACACAAGGGACACAGCTGGGGGTCTGCTGTTCGGCAGTGCGTCACTAAAGGTGACAGTTTTTCCGGCTTACTTCTGAAGCAGTTGTTTTCTAATATTTCAGGCTTTGATCAAATTCAAAAGCTACTTGTACTTTGAAGAGAAAGACTTTGTGGACAAAGCAGAGAAGAGCCTGAAGCAAGCCCCTGGAAGCCAGGTGAGTTAGTGTTGCTGGGTGGAGGATGCAGAACCTCAGGAAGAGCAGAGAGCCCGCTGAGACTGGCTTATTGTACGTGTTAATCGCTTGCACTTAATGAGCACAAAGGGAGGCTGAGCATTCGTTCTCAATCGAAAAACAGAATGCTATTATTAAAGGAACAATAAAGCTGAACTTAGCAAAGCAGCTGCACCCTTTGCTGGTGATGTTTTTTGCTGTCACCGAAATACTTACCTGGCATCGGGTAAAGGGGAGCGTAGGTTAGGCTGCCTCGTGAGGATTACTTTGTAGTTCCCAAGTAAGGTCGTGAAAGCTAGCATCAATGGGAAAAAAAACAAACACACTTCTTCATTTTTCCTTTCAGATAATATTCTTCAAGAATGGTGCCAGCCAAGGAATTGCCTTTAAGGACATCTTTGAAGGAGTTTATTTTCCTGCCATTTCGTTGTACAAAGGCTGTACGGTAAGTAATGTATCTGAGCAATTATCTTTAAAAGTCCATCACAGTTTCAGTAAAACATCCTCTCATGCAACGGATGGCTGTTCATGCAGTCTTGCACAGGGTGTGGTTAGGCTCAAGAGCAGGAGGGGATGAAATTTGCCCTTTTTTTTTGTAACTAATGGCAAATTTATGTTCCACAGGTTTCTATAAACTTTGGGCCATATTTCAAGTATCCACCTAGAGATATCACTTACCGTCCAGTAAGTAGCACCTGAAGCTTTTTACCCCCACTTTGTGATAGCCTCACAGTATTTCAACAAAATGAGATTTTGTTGTGGTGGGGGGAGTTGATTTATTCCAAGCCTGTATCTGTTCTCTTCAATCATCTCTGTAGCCAACAGGATTGTATTTAAAAATCTTTAAGGACAGATAGCCTAACAAATAACTTAGCATCCGCTCTTTAGTTAAAATTTAGCTGTCTTGTTCCTCGTGGCAGATTATAAAGTCCCTGTTCTTGCCTGTGTTAGCTTTTAGCAGCAAGAGGGCTGAATTCTTGTTTAAGGAAATACTTAGAAATTCCCCCCGCAATGTTTTCAGGAGGGAAACAGTCCTGGAACGCTGGTGGGCTGGTCCCCCTGTGTCCTGAGCCTGTCCTTGATGACTCGAGCTAACTGTCCTTTGTTCCCTTTGCAGATGAGCGACATGGGCTGGGGTGCAGTCGTAGAGCACACGCTGGCAGATGTGCTGTACCACGTAGAGACAGAAGTTGATGGGAGACGAAGTCCCCCCTGGGAGCCATAAACAAAGCGGGCGGCACAGCATTAACAAAATGACACAGCAGGTATCCAGTCAAGAGGTTTTTATTCTAGAGGAACAATCAGCCAAGGAACAAACACACCAAAGCCAACGCAGCTCTTCAGGGCAGGCATTACGTACATTTGTTACCTGCCGAAGACCTGTGCTCAACGCCTACGCTGGGGTCTGCAGCGACCGCCGTTGGGGTACGTACTGTCTGTGGGCAGCTCCTGGAGCCTTGGCTAACTCACAGCGTAGCTGGCTGAAGCAGCGGGTATTGTCTGAGATGACCTCTGCGGTGCTGTACCTGGGTTTGTTCAGTGAGAGCAGGCTCTACCTGCTGGACGTACCCTTGCAGGAGCAACTTCGACACTTCTGCTCAGCTGCCTTTGGGTGATTGCAAAGAGCTCCGAGCCAGAGGGATTGTGTGGTAACAAGACTACTGCATGTACGACTGAAATTTGGGCTTCTGTCCAAACTGCATTTTTTTTTTTCCTCCACAAACTGGAAACCAGTTTAAAAATAAAGGCTTTAAATCTTTTTTTTTTTTTTTGGTCTTGTGAGTTGTTGTGACTGAGATTTAAACTCAAGGTAGCTACACGGTGGAGATCTCTCAAGATCTCCTGCTCCCTGCGCTGACACCTTTGACAGGGCCTCCTGCCAATGATCATCACGGCAGAGCTTTGAATGAATAAATAATAAATTTGACACTTTGTGTTTGTCTGTACAGGAAAAATAAATTAGAGCTACTTCACGGGGGGGAGAAGGGAATAGAATTTTTAGGTAAGTGTGTGCTCTGCATTTTGGGGGCAGGAGGGGAGCAAAATTGAGGTTAACTCAGTCAGTCCTTTGTTTGCCCCAGGGGGCAGGTGCTGGTCCTCCTGCCTTCCCAGGCAGGTGTCTGGGGCCACCCTAATAACTAATTAGCCAAGGCCTTTGATAGTAGACACCACTAATTAAGGCTTTATTTATTTATTGAAACTCAGTGGAGCAAAGGCAGGACTTTTCCCTCAAACTTTGATCCTGCATTTGCACAACGAGCATCTGCTGGCCCATCAGGCCCCTAATGAGCTGCAATAAGTAAAGCTGTAATTATCTATTTCTTGAAACGATGTATTAATGAGTGGTGTCTGCCATTAAAGGCCTTGGCCAATTAGCCCAGGCTGCCTTACCCCGTTAAGAGATGCCCTACCCCTGACCAAAGCACCCCCCCCGCGTCGGTGCTGTCAGCAGCCCGCAGCCACGGTCCGGGCCAGGTGCTCCCGGAGGCGGTTGGCGAAGTCGACCTGCGTCTGGGACAGGACCTGGTTGATGATGGTCTTGGGGAGCCAGCCCTGGAGAGGAGCAGAGGGCGTGCTGTGAGGGGAACTTGCCTAATGGCAAATCCTGCTTCCGCTTGGAAACGTTGGTTGCAGACCTTACCTTCAGGTCGATGCTGAGCAGCCACGTGAGCTGGGTTTGCGAAGGACTGCCGGCCAGCGGGCGCAGGATCATGCACGTGGGGCCGTTCTCGGCTCTGTAAGAGGACAACGCACGTGTCGGAAAGCAAGTCAACACAACAGCCCCGCTGCAGTGCTCTGTGCACCGCGGTTCTGCTGCGGGGACAAACCTCATTACCCGGAGCCCGGACTTTTTAGTGAACCTGACTCACCACCCGACCTGGAGGCACACGCAGAAGGTGGTTACCTGTTACCCGGAGCCCGGACTAAAAGCTGCCACGTGAACCTGACTCACCACCCGCCCTGGAGGCACACGCAGAAGGTGGTTACCTTATAAACCCTTCCTGCTCGGGCATGGCGCCGTACTTCGTGGCCATGCCGGCCAGGACGCAGGTGGAGCCACGTCTCTTGGAGCAGCGGACGCTGACAAAGTCCCGCGGACCGACGATGTTACCGGGGGTCGCGGCCGCCTTCTCATGGGTGATCACGGTGTCCTTGCCGATCTTCTGCAGAATCTGGATGGTTTAGAACCAAAATGGTAATTTGGGGTATTTGCTGCAAACATAACTAAAAGCTACCTTTGATCGCCGCGTGTTCAAATACACGCTCACAAAACCCCAGTGCTTACAGTGAGAAAAATGTCAGCTATGTGCCCCATCCCAGAACACAGACCACTGATGAGGGGTTTCTCTTATTCCCAACAAGCTATGGAACAGTGAAACGCTCTGCCCTGCCCGTCGGGGTGCTGCGCTACTTCTCCGGTACCAGCACAGATTTAACAGCAGAGCTGGCCCTCTGCATCGCAACCAACGCCCAGCCCTCCACCCGCATACACACTGTTATGGACCATCTGGCTTTTTC